GAGAGAGAGAGGCAACTGACCTGCTGGTGTCCGGTTCAGATCCGGGCGGGAGCCACCGTCGCCGTGGTGAGAGGGCGAGATGACCCGAGTTGCGTCGACCGCGGAAGGCAGAGGGGGCTGCGTTCCCGGACGGCAAGGCGGAGGTGAAGGGCAGCAGGGGCGGGCAGTGGAGAGCAGAGCAGAGGAGCGCCGGCAGTGGAGAAGACAGACAGCTGACAGCACAACCAGCTCGGCAGAGTGAGTGAGTGGAAGACTGAGTACTACTTTCTATCCGGTTAATCTAGTCTAGACTTAATTTGCATGCTATGTATGGATGATTTGTGCTATTTTCTATCCGAACTTTGATGAATAAAGTTTGTACTCGAATATGAGAATGTACATGTAAGCTATTGATGTGTTAAAGTTTTCTATGTATGAAAAAACATGTCACTGAATTTGTGCTCGAATAAAGTTTCCAATGCTACAATTATTATGACATATAACTGGCATGTTATTGGTTGAAGTTAAATCAGAAAATATGAAAATGTCATGTAAGCTATTGATGTGTTAAGCCAAGGTGTAGTAAGTAAAAGCTGTGTGACATGTACACATTGATCTATATAAACAAGAGAAATAAGTGTATCTCTAAATATGAGCTTCTTACTTTACTTACTATGATCGTATGATGTTTCTGAATCTGTATTGGTAATCAGCAGGTACGGTTACAAGTCATCAACTGAAGTAAGCAAATTAAGCGCGCATCCCGTGAGAGGCAAAAACCAAGAGTAAAAACAAGACTAGGCAGCGGGTCTCACGCTGGTGGCGTTGTGGTCTTCAAGGCGCTGGCTGGCACAAGGACAAGCCATGTGAATGAGCTTGGTAAGCGAGTGTTAATTAATCAGCGATTTAACAAAGCTAACGTGGTACATTCGATTCGTGAGGCCAAGGCTCTGGTCGACAGTTGTTCTACTACCATGTAGTCTATGTCTATGAGATTTTACCATTCCATTGAAAACAGAGTAGAGAAAACACCGGGCATCCAGTCGACCTGTGCCGCTATGCCTGGTGAATGGGGTCAT